TTGTCAACTTTCATATAAATCTAGTCAAGCTCTTTTTATGTGATTGTTGCATTATATTATATATTGATAGGTATTGTTTTATGAGTAGTCTTTTACTGCATTATTGCCAACGGTATATTGTCGCTCTTAGATTTCTCATAAGATAATTTTTCCTAATTCTAAACGTTAGAATTTTATTTACTCGAATACATTTTTAATTCATATGTTTTTTAAATATTTATTTTCCGATTGATTGTTTGGGATGTGAAACTTTCAATTGAGTCAATTTATGAATCAAAATCCAAATAGGTGAACAAAGCATATGGAGGATTCTCAAAGCCTTACCACTTTTATTTATTGAATTTTTTCCATTTTAAATTGTTCAAAAAATCATCAAAAACACTTATTCATTTTCTTTGTTTGATTGCTTACTTTCCTAACGCTTTTTATTTGCTAATCATTTCTTGTTCAATTTAACACTTCCTCGTGGGATCGACCGTTCAAATTGTACTACAATTGACCGCTTGTTTTTGTACACGCTTGGGCGTAACCACCCGCCAACTCAATATTTCGGGCCAAAATTCACTTGATTTCATCAGTTTCGGAGGAAAAAAATCAGAAAACTGTGACTAAAAGTGGCCATAACTTTTGATCATGATATCATTACTCAACATCTAATATACCAAATCGAAGCTCTTTTTGAGTTCTAATATCGTGGCGGGGTGTAGCTGACCAACCCAATTTTTTGGGCCATAATTCACTTGTTTCATCAATTTCGGAGGAAAAAAATCAGGGATCTGTGACTGAAAACGGCTATAACTTTTGATCTAGAAATCGTTACTGGGCCTATAATATACCAAATCAAAGGCCTTTTTGAGCTCTGCAATCGTGGTAGGACGTAGCTCGCCAACCCAATTTTTCAGTCTAAATTCACTTATTTTCATCAGTTTCAGAGGGAAAAAAATTAGAGAACTGTGAATGAAAACGGCCATAACTTTTGATCTACAAATCGTTATTGGGCCTCTAATTTACCAAGTCAAAGCTCTTTCTGAGTTGTAATATTGTGGCCGAGCGTAGCCCACCAACTCAATTTTTTTTTGCCAATATTCACTTGATTTCATCAATTTCAGAGGAAAAAAATCGGATAACTGTGACTGAAAACAACCATAACTTTTGAAATCGTTACTCGGCCTATAATATACCAAATTGAAGCTGTTTTTGAGTTCTACAATCATGGTGGGGTGTAGCCTAGGAGCCCAATTTTTTGGGCCATAATTCACTTGTTTTCATCAATTTCAGAGGAAAAAAAATCGGGGAACAGTGATTGAAAACGTCCATAACTTTTGATCTAGAAATCGTTATTGGGCCTATAATATACCAAATCGATGCTCTTTTTGAGCTCTACAGTCATGAGGGGAACGTACACCACCAACCAAATATTTTGGGCCAAAATTCACTTGTTTTCATCATTTTCAGAGGAAAAAAAATTGGAGAACTGTGAGTGAAAACGGCCATAACTTTTACTCTAAAATTCCTTACTGGGCCTATAATATACCAAATTGAAGTTCTTTTCCAGCTTTATGATCATGGCAGGGCATAACTCACAAACCCAATTTGCTGGCCAAAATTCACTTCATTTCATCTGTTTCGGAGGAAAAAAATCGTAGGATTGTGACTGAAAACGGCCATAACTTTTGATCTAGAAATCGTTATTGGGCCTATAATATACCAAATTGAAGCCTTTTTTTAGCGCTACAATCATGGTGAGGTGTCGCCCACCAACCCATTTTTTTGGGCCAAAATTCACTTGTTTCATCAATTTTAGAGGAAAAAAAATCAGAGAACTATGACTGAAAACTGCCATAAATTTTGATCTAGAAATTATTACTGGGCCTATAATATACCAAATCCAAGCACTTTTTGAGCTGTACAATCATGGCTGGGCTAAGCCCACCAAGTCAATTTTTCAGGCCAAGAGTCACTTAATTTCATCAGTTTCGGAGGAAAAAAATCAGAGAACTGTGACTGAAAACAGCCATAACTTTTGATCTAAAAATCATTACTCGGCCTATAATTTACTAAATTAAAGCTATTTTTGAGCTATACAATCATGGTGGGGTGTTGCTCACCAACCCAATCTTTTAGGGTAAAATTCACTTGTTTTCATCAGTTTCAGAGGAAAAAAAATCAGAGCACTGTGATTGAAAACGGCTATAAGTTTTGAGCTAGAAATCGTTATGTAACACCCTAAAGAATTAAATGAGATTAGTTAAGGTAATTGAGATTATTAGTGTGCCTAATCTGATTTAATTAATTGAGTTTTGATTAATAAATGTTTCTGACGTGTAATTTAAATAGTTCCAAGGTATTTAAATTCTTCTCAGTAATTTATTTTAACCCAGAAGTGTATGGGCACATTTCTGGACTGCTCTTTTAAAATATTAACACTTGTCCATTTTCTTTTCTTTTTCTTTTCTTTCTTTCTTTTTCTCTTTCCTTTCCCATGCACACTCTCTCTCTTCACTCTCATTCCCGTACTCTCTCTCTCTCTTCCTGTTTTTGTCCCAATTGAACGGACCTTGAACCAAGGAATGATTTCAACAAGCTTTCAACGTCAAGAGAAGGATTCAAGGTAAGATTTAGGAAAAACCCTCTCTTGAATCGTGGATTTGTGGACTTCAAAACTTATTTTTGGTTCAAACCGGATATTAATGATTTTTGAGTAAAACCTGGGTAGAAATTGGAGATCTTGGGTTCTTTGGGCTTAATTTACTACCTAGAACCCGGATCAAGTGGTTTTCCTTTGAAATATTTTGATTTAGGACTGAGATTGCAGGTTCTGCACTGGTTTCCGTGAGCTTCTCTCGCGCAGCTGATTCCACCGGTCGACCTGTCTGGTCGACCGGATCACATGGTAACCGGTCGAATGGTGCGGTCAACCGCATTGCATTGGCCTGACCGGTCAACCTGTCCGGTCGACCAGAGTACACACTACCAGTCAACCGGTAGTGTTGCACTGTTCTGTCACCGGTCAACCGGTTGACACAGGGTCTAACCCTATTTGGCCTGAAATTGCTGTTTTGACCCCTGTTTTCGGGGAGAACCCAAATTAGCTTCATTTGGGGACTTGAGATGAATGGATTAGCATCTTTAATCCTTGTGAGCCCAAAGGCAATGCTAGTCCCAGGTTTGATAGTGCGAGGTATGATTTCTATCCCTTTTCCTTGTGAGCCTGTTTTCAAAAAGGATTTCGGCCTTGGAAATGTTTTAAAGAAAGGGATTGGTTTGCGAAAGAAAAACTCTTTAAAAACCATGGCTTGTTTAGTCATGGAACCTCATGGCTTGGCCAGTCATGGGGCCCGCGGCTTGAGTAGTTCATGGGGTCATATTAACGATCTCATAATGTTAAATGAATGGTTTCTTAAGATAAGAGATCTTGTGAACCGGTAAGAATATATTGCTGTAAGCCTAGATAGGATGCGAAGAGTGCATCCTCCGGGGCAGAACCCGAAACTCAGTTCGGGTAGGTGAGACACTTGGTAGGTAGTAATTTGTACTAATTACTTAGTGTTGCCTGTAATACTGTTATGTTCAGTTATATTTCCTTTGAGAAAAAGGATGTGAGGTTCCGGCTGGCAGTCGGAACTGAATGTCTTATTTTATTTACTTATTCATTTATTTATTCATTGCTAATTTATTATTCATTTATTTATACAGTCATTTCAAACTATATCCTACTGGGCCTTTCGCTCACATTTTATGTTTTAAATGTATTAAACCCCTCCCAGGAGATTCTAGGAGCAGTGCACAGTAGCTGGATATTTGCTACGGAGTAGCTGAGTTGTGCTGCTGCCAGAATCAAGTGAGGATTGTGATCATCCTTTGGAATAAAATGTAAGGAATTGAGAATTATGTAACCTTATGTAATATTTGGATATACTAGATTGTGGTTGATGTCTGTTGTAATTGATTATTTACAAGTTGATGTATGTACAATGCCATATATCCTATGGCTGAAGCCCTGTGTGTTGTCAGAGGCTCAGGATTTAGAAATTTATATTATATTTTAATGGAGTTAAGTGGGGCTCATTTGGGTATCTGTTTTATTAACCCCTAATTGAGCTCCATGTCACCCACCCCGTTTGGGGGGCGTGACAGAGTGGTATCAGAGCCCTAGGTTAAGAAACCCTAAAATTGTACATACATGTGTGACATCTGTAATCCACTGAACAGTCTAATTTTATTTCAGTTGATGGAAATGGCGCCTCTCCATAAGCCAGCTAATCAACTGGCACAACAGAATCCGGGATTTTTGGACGCCATGTATGCTGCCTTTCAAGCCATGGCCACTAGAGCTCAAAATGAGCGGGCGGTTGAGGATAGGAAGCAAGGTTACTTCCAGAAATTTAGGCGTGCGGCTATCCCCTTGTTTAACAGTGAAGGAGGACCCCAGGAAATAGAGTTCTGGTTTGACTCTATAGTCAAGCACTTGAGTACTATGGGAGTCCCAGATGAATACTGGGTGGAATTTGCAGTAAACAAGATGGAGGGCTTAGTAAATACTTGGTGGAAACAGGTCAAAAGAAGAATAGATGTTGCAAGACTGACCTGGGAGCAGTTTGAGATACTATTCAATGAGCAGTACTTCCCTCGGAGTTATAGGGATGAAAAAGCATTGGAATTCATGTCTCTGCTGCAAGGTGACATGTCTGTAAGGGAGTATAAGGCCAAGTTTAATGACCTATCCTATTTTGCGCCATCTTTGGTGGAATCTGAACACCTTAAATGTCTTAAGTTTGAGAAGGGCCTCAAGAACTCTGTGACGAGACCATTGGTGGCATTCAGAATCTGGAATTTCTGGGTTTTGGTGGCTACTGCTACTAGGGTGGAGCAGGATAGCATAACCTATCACCAAAGCAAAGAACTAGCTGGACAAGTTTCAGCTTCTGGCGGACCATCAACTTCCGGCGGGCCACAGCGGAGTGGTAGAAGGAACCGCAACCAGGGACAACCGGGTGGGGGAGTGATTAGTGGTGGCAGTAGTTCATCAGGAAGTGACAGAAGTGCTCCATACGGGCCCAAGTGTCACCATTGTGGGCAGGTGGGCCATATTAGGAGGAATTTTCCTAATCGGCCGCTAGCTCAACAAGCCCAAAGTGACACTTCATACAGTCAGGAAGGGCCACCACAGTATATGCTATCATATCAGCCACATCAGATGCCATATCCCACTGTGCCAACTTATCAACCACCTCAGTATACACAATTTCAGCCCCAAGTGCTGAGACCGGTACAACCACCTCCACCGCAATAGTATAGGCCAGCGACCCAACGGCCTAATGTTTGTGATAGAGGGAAAGGAAAAGTGCAGGGGCAAGCTTATGCCCTGGCAGGAGGCAGTTCGGGAGATCAAACCAGCAACGCGGTGGTTGAGGGTATGATTCTAATCTCTCATTCTTTTGCTCACGTGTTGTTTAATACAGGTGCCACACACTCTTTTGTATCAAGCTCTTTCATTCAGACTTTGAACCTGAAATCTGAGAATTTAGAAGTCTCGATGACTTTGAACTCCCCACTGGGATGTGTGGAGGTGTTGAGTGTGTGTAAATCATGTGAAATCATGATTGGGGGTGAGGGATTGAGAGCTGATTTGATTATCCTTCCGATGAGTCTATTTGACGTGGTGCTCGGAATGGATTGGTTGTCGGAGTACGGTGCTATTGTTGATTGCTACCGTAGAAGGTTGACTTTGATGACTAAGTCTGGAACAGTGATTTCTTATCAGGCAGATACGAACCCAGTCCTAGGAGAACGACTGTTGAAGTATAGTGTTGGGGGACGAAGGAATCTAGCATGTTTTTCTTCACTTCTCGCCTTTGAAGGTGAACCCGAGATAACTGGAGATAGTGTGGGAATCCCTGTAGTGGATGAGTTCGCAGATGTATTTCCCGAGGATCTACCGGGGTTGCCACCAGATCGGGAAATTGAATTATGCATTGATTTGGTTCCGGGAACGGCACCTATTTCCATTCCTCCATACCGGATGGCTCTGGCGGAGATGAGAGAATTAAGGAAGCAGCTTGAGGAGCTAGCAGAGAAGGGATACGTTCAGAATAGTACTTCCCCTTGGGGTGCCCTGGCGCTATTTGTGAAAAAACATGACGAATCTCTCCGGTTGTGCATTGACTACCATCAATTGATTAGGGTAACTATGAAGAACAAATACCCACTACCAAGGATCGACGAGCTATTCGATCAGTTGGGTGGATCACAGTTTTACTCCAAGATTGACTTGAGGTCTGGGTACCACCAATTGAAAATTAAGGAGGAGGACATTCCAAAGTCTGCTTTTTGAACTCGGTATGGGCACTTCGAGTTTCTTGTAATGCCTTTTTGGCTTACGAATGCCCCGGCGGCATTCATGGACTTGATGAACCGTGTTTTCTTGCCATATTTGGATCGGTTCGTAATTGTCTTCATTGACGACATACTGGTTTACTTGAAGACTTGGCAAGAACATGAGCAACACTTGAGAATTGTTCTTCAAACTCTTCGTGAACACCAGTTGTATGCTAAGAAGGAGAAATGTGACTTCTGGCTGACAGAAGTGAAGTTCCTTGGGCATGTAATTTCAGGACAAGGAATCTCTATTGATCCTTCTAAGATTGAGACTGTGCTACAGTGAGAAAGGCCAAAGAATGTGGCGGAGATTCGCAGTTTCCTCGGACTTGCAGGGTACTATCGGTGTTTCATGAAAGACTTCTCGAGTATTGCTGCACTGATGACTCGGTTGACCAAGAAAGAAGTCAGATTCCAGTGGGACGCCGAATGTGAAAATGCTTTTCAGGAATTTAGGGTCAGACTGACAAGTGCACCAGTCTTGACTATTCCTGATAGTAAAGAACCATATGAGGTGTATTCTAACGCCTCGGGGAGTGGGCTTGGCGGTGTCTTAATGCAAGGAGGACGTGTGGTAGCGTACGCATCTCGCCAATTAAGACCACATGAACAGAATTATCCCACTCATGATTTGGAGCTGGCAGTGGTAATATTTGCTCTGAAGATATGGAGATGTTATCTCTATGGAGCAAAGTTTCAGGTCTTTTCTTACCATAAAAGTCTGAAGTACTTGTTTACTCAGAAAGACTTGAATCTCAGGCAAAGGAGATGGGTGGAGTATATGGAAGATTATGACTTTAGTCTGCAATATCATCCTGGAAAAGCTAATGTGGTGGCTGATGCCCTTAGCAAGAAGACGACGGGGACTCTGGCGTCGTTAGCTTTGGAAGATTGGAAAAGGACTGAAGTGGTGAGTGAGTATAATCTTCAGTTCTACGAAGATTATAACCAGGCGATGGTGTATAATCTGGGTTCTACACCGGATATTGTGCAACAGGTTAAGCAGAATCAATTACAGGATCCACACCTCCAAGGGATCTGGATTCGAATCCAGAATGGAGAGCAACTCGAGGATTGGAGAATCCGAGAGGATGGAGCCTTGTATTTCTGCAACCGCCTTGTTGTTCCTAAGGCGGATGAGGTAAATAAGATGGTTCTGTGAGAGGCTTACAAATTGAAGTTTGCTATACATCTAGGAAGTACAAAGATGTACCAGGACCTGAAAAGGCAGTGCTGGTGGAGAGGCATGAAAAGAGACATTTGTGAGTATGTCTCGGAATGTCTGACTTGCCTCTGGGTTAAAGCTGAGCATCAGAAGCCAGTGGGAGAGTTATAACCTCTTCCTGTCCCTGGATGGAAATGGGAGCACATCATTATAGATTTTCTGATGGGGCTATCGAGAACCGAGCTAAAGCACGATGTCATCTGGGTGGTGGTGGACAGGTTGATGAAGTCCGCGCACTTCATACCATTTCGTACGATGTATTCTCAGAAGATTCTGTCAGAATTATACCTGGAGCACATCGTGAGGCTACACGGAGTGCCATTGTTTATCACGTCAGATCGTGACACGTGTTTTAATGCAAGGTATTGGAGGAGTTTCCAGGAAGCCATGGGAACAGACTTGAACTTCAGCACAGCATTTCATCCTCAGACTGATGGGCAATCTGAAAGAGTAATTCAGATTCTGGAGGATATGCTTCCTGCTTGTATTCTGGAATTTGGTGGAAACTGGAAGAAATACCTGCACCTTACTGAGTTTGTGTACAACAACAGCCATCAGGCCAGTATCGGTATGGCACTGTTGAGGCTCTCTATGGTCGTCCTTGTAGGTCACCTATTTGTTGGTTAGAACCAGAAGATCGACTGAGTACTAGGCCAGAGGTTATTCAAGAAAACAATGAGAAGATAGCTGTGATTCAGGAACGACTATTGACAGCTCAAGGTCGTCAGAAAAGCTATGCTAATAGAAGGCGTACTACCGATCGTGCAATGAGTCGGAGTGGTGGCTTATCGGTTGGCTTTACCGCCTGAATTATCTCACGTGCATGACGTGTTTCATGTCTTTATGCTTTAGAAATGTCAACCTGAGCCGGAAGCTATGGTACGGTGGTTTGACATTCTGATATAGTATGACACGACGTACGAGGAGGCACCTGTACAGATTCTTGACCGGAAGATAAAGAATCTGCGCTATCGTGAGATCCTGTTAGTGAAAGTGTTGTGGCAGCACCATGGAGTTGAGGAAGCGACATGGGAGCTTGAAACTGCGATGCAGGAGCAGTATCCACATCTGTTTGTGCTTTGAGGTAGGCCTTAATTTCAGGGACGAAATTGCCTAAGAGGGGTGGAGCTGTAACACCCTGAAGAATTAAATAAGATTAATTAAGATAATTGAGATTATTAGTGTGCCTAATCTGATTTAATTAATTGGGTTTTGATTAATAAATGTTTCTGACGTGTAATTTAAATAGTTCTAAGGTATTTAAATTCTTCTTAGTAATTTATTTTAACCCAAAAGTGTGTATGGGCGCATTTCTGGACTGTTCTTTTAATATATTGACACTTGTCCATTTTCTTTTCTTTTTCTTTTTCTTTTCTTTCTTTCCTTTTCTCTTTCCTCTCCCGTGCACACTCTCTCTCTCTCCACTCTCATTCCCGTGCTCTCTCTCTCTTTTCCCGTTTTTGTCCCAATCGAACGGACCTTGAACCAAGGAACGATTTCAAGAACCATTCAACATCAAGAGAAGGATTCAAGGTAAGATTTATGGAAAACCCTCTCTTGAATCGTGCATTTGTGGACTTCAAAACTTATTTTTGGTTCAAACTGGATATTAATGATTTTTAAGTAAAACCTTGGTAGAAATTGGAGATCTTGGGTTCTTTGGACTTGATTTACCACCTAGAACCCGGATCTAGGGGTTTTCCTTTGAAATATTTCGATTTGGGACTGAGATTGTAGGTTTTGGACTGGTTTCCGCGAGCTTCTCTCGCGCAGCTGATTCCACCAGTCGACCTGTCTGGTCGACCGGATCACATGGTAACCGGTCAACCGGTGCGATCGACCGCATTGCATTGGCCTGACCGGTCGACCTGTCCGGTCGACCGGAGTGCACACTACCGGTCGACCGGTAGTGTTGCACTGTTCTATCACCAGTCGACCGGTTGACACGGGGTCTGACCCTATTTGGCCTGAAATTGCTGTTTTGGCCTCTACTTTCGGGGAGAACCCAAATTAGCTTCATTTGGGGACTTGAGATGAATGGATTAGCATCTTTAATCCTTGTTTTGAGATTGAAAACCCTTGGAATGATAATTTGAAACATGAAAATGGATTAGGGCACACTAATTGGAAACCTTGGCATCAAATTGAGATTGGATTGCTTTAGGAATGAGAATTAATCCTAAAGTGTTGTCTTGCATCAGTGATCGCTGAGGATTCAGACTGAAGGGGTTGAGGAAGTGGAAGCCGGAGAAGGCTATGCTAGTCCCAGGTTTGATAGTGCGACGTAGGATTTCTATCCCTTTTCCATGTGAGCCTGTTTTCAAAAAGGATTTCGGCCTTGGAAATGTTTTAAAGAAAGGGGTTGGTTTGCAAAAGAAAAACTCTTTAAAAACCATACCTTGTTTAGTCATGGAACCTCATGGCTTGGCCAGTCATGGGGCCCACGGCTTGAGTAGTTCGTGGGGTCATATTAACGATTTCATAATGTTAAATGAATGGTTTCTTAAGATAAGAGATCTTGTGAACCGGTGAGAATATATTGCTGTAAGCCTAGATAGGATACGGAGAGTGCATCCTCGGGGGTAGAACCCGAAACACGGTCCGGGTAGGCGAGGCACTTGGTAGGTGACTAATTTGTACTAATTACTTGCTGATGCCTGTAATACGGTTATTTTCAGTTATATTTCCTTTGAGAAAAAGGATGTGAGGTTCCGGCTGCCAGTTGGAACTGAATGTCTTATTTTATTTACTTATTCATTTATTTATTCGTTGCTAATTTATTATTCATTTATTTATACAGTCATTTCAAGCTATATCCTATTGGGCCTTTCGCTCACATTTTATGTTTTACATGTATTAAACCCCTCCCAGGAGATTCTAGGAGCGGTGCACAGTAGCTGGATATTTGCTACGGAGTAGCTGAGTTGTGCTGCTGCCGAAATCAAGTGAGGATTGTGATCATCCTCTGGAATAAAATGTAAGGAATTGAGAATTCTACAACCTTATGTAATATTTGGATATACTAGACTGTGGTTGGCGTCTGTTGTACTTGATTATTTACAAGTTCATGTATGTACAATGCCATATATCCTGTGGGTTGAGCCCTGTGTGTTGTCAAAGGCTCGGGATTTAGAAATTTATATTATAATTTAATGGAGTTAAGTGGGGCTCGTTTAGGAATTTGCTTTATTAACCCCTAATTGAGCTCCACGTCACCCACCCCGTTTGGGGGGCATGACTGAGTGGTATCAGAGCTCTAGGTTAAGAAACCCCAGTAAGCACCTCGCCGTAAGCCAGCTAATCAACCGGCACAACAGAATCAGGGATTTCTGGACGCCATGTATGCTGCCTTTCAAGGCATGGCCACTAGAGCTCAAAATGAGCGGCCGGTTGAGGATAGGAAGCAAGGTTACTTTCAGGAATTTAGGCGTGCGCCTATCCCCTCGTTTAACAGTGAGGGAGGACCCCAAGAAGCAGAGTTCTAGTTTGACTCCATAGTCAAGCACTTAAGTCCTATGGGAGTCCCAGATGAATACTGGGTGGAATTTGCGATATAAAAGATTGAGGGCTTAGCAAATACTTGGTGGAAACAGGTCAAAAGATGAATAGATGTTGCAGGACTGACCTGGGAGCAGTTTGAGACAATGTTCAATGAGCAGTACTTCCCTCAGAGTTATAGGGATGAAAAAGCGCTGAATTCATGTCTCCACTGCAAGGTGACATGTCTGTAAGGGAGTATGAGGCCAAGTTTAATGACCTATCCCAGCTTGCGCCATCTTTGGTGGAATCTGAATACCTTAAATGTCTTAAGTTTGAAAAGGGCCTCAAGAACTCTGTGAGGAGACCATTGGTGGCTTTGAGAATCTGGAATTTCTGGGATTTTGTGGCTGCTGCTACTAGGGTGGAGTAGGATAGCATAGCCTATCACCAAAGCAAAGAACTAGCTGGACGAGTTTCAGCTTCTGGCGGACCATCTGCTTCCGGCGGGCCATAGCGGAGTGGTAGAAGGAACCACAACCAGGGACAGCCGGGTGGGGGAGTGATTAGCGGTGGCAGTAGTTCATCAGGAAGTGACAGAAGTGCTCCATACGGGCCCAAGTGTCACCATTGTAGGCAGGTGGGCCATATTAGGAGGAATTGTTCTAATCGGCCGCTGGCTCAACAAGCCCAAAGTGACGCTTCATACAGTCAGGAGGGGCCACCACAGTATATGCCACCATATCAGCCACAGCAGATGCTATATCCCCCTGTGCCAACTTATCAACTACCTTAGTATACACAATTTCGGCCCCAAGCGCCGAGACCGGTACAACCACCTCCGTTGCAACAGTATAGGCCAGCGACCCAACGACCTAATGTTTGTGATAGAGGGCAAGGGAAAGTGCAGGGGCAAGCTTATGCCCTGGCTGGAGCAGTTTGGGAGATCAGACCAGCAACGCGGTGGTTGAGGATATGATTCTAATCTCTCATTCTTTTGCTCACGTGTTGTTTGATACAGGTGCCACACACACTTTTGTATCAAGTTCTTTCGTTTGGACTTTGAACCAGAAATCTGACAATTTAGAAGTACCGATGACTTTGAACTCCCCACCGGGATGTGTGGAGGTGTTGAGTGTGTGTAAATCGTGTGAAATCACGATTGGGGGTGAGCGATTAAGAGCTGATTTGATTATCCTTCCGATGAGTCTATTTGACGTGGTGCTTGGATTGGTTGTCGGAGTACGGTGCTATTGTTGATTGCTACCGTAGAAGGGTGACTTTGATGACTAAGTCTGGAACAGTGATTTCTTATCAGGCAGATACGAACCCAGTCCTAGGAGAACGACTGTTGAAGTACAGTGTTGGGGGACGAAGGAATCTAGCCTGTTTTTCTTCACTTCTCGCCTTTGAACGTGAACCCGAGATAATTGGAGATAGTGTGGGAATCCCTGTAGTGGATGAGTTTAGAGATGTATTTCCTGAGGATCTACCGGGGTTGCCGCCAGATCGGGAAATTGAATTATGCATTGATTTGGTTCCGGGAACGACACCTATTTCCATTCCTCCATACGGGATGGCTCCGGCGGAGATGAGAGAATTAAGGAAGTAGCTGGAGGAGCTAGCAGAGAAGGGATACATTTGGAATAGTACTTCCCCTTAGGGTGCCCTGGCGCTATTTGTGAAAAAGCACGACGGATCTCTCCGGTTGTGCATTGACTACCGTCAATTGAATAGGGTAACTGTTAAAAACAAATACCCACTTCCAAGGATCGACTATAACTTTTGATTTAGAAATCATTACTGGGTTTATAATATACCAAATAGAAGTACTTTTCGAGCTGTACAATCATGGTCGGGCACGGCCCACCAACTCAATTTTTTGGGCCAAAATTTACTTGATTTCATCAGTTTCGAAGGAAAAAAAATTGGAGAACTGTCACTAAAAACGGTAATAACTTTTGATCTAGAAATTGTTACTGCGCCTATAATATACCAAATCGAAGCACTTTTTGAGCTGTACAATCGTGGCCGGGTTCAGCCCGCCAACTCAATTTTTTGGCCCACAATTCACTTGACTTCATCAGTTTCGGAGGAAAAAAATTGGATAACTGTGAATGAAAACGGCCATAACTTTCGATCTTGAAATCGTTACTGGGCTTATAATATACTAAATCGAAGCTCTTTTCGAGTTCTACAATCGCGGTGGGGTGTAGGCCACCAACCCAATTTTTTGGGCCAAAATGCACTTATTTTCATCAGTTTCAGATGAAAAAAAAATCAGAGAACTGTGATTGAAAATGGCTAAAACTTTTGATCTAGAAATCGTTACGGGGCCTATAATAAACCAAATGGAAGCTCATTTTGAGATCTACAATCAGGGTGGGCCGTAGCCTGCCAACCCAATTTTTTGGGCTAAAATTCACTTATTTTCATCAGTTTCAGAGGAAAAAAAGTCGAAGGACTGTGACTGAAAACGACCATAACTTTTGATCTAGAAATTGTTACTGGGCCTATAATACCAAATTGAACCACTTTTTGAGGTGTAGAATCGTGGCCGGGCTGAGCCCACCAACTCAATTTTTCGGGTCAAAATTCACCTGTTT